AGGGAGCTGAGGGTGAGAGCGCGGACTGGGGGGGAGAGGAAGGAAATGATTCCCACCAGCAACCCCGGCTCCCCTGGAAAATGGGAATGGGATCCAGGAATTTGGGGGGAATGGGGATTGGGATCCTGGAATTTGGGGGGATTTGGGGATTGGGATCCTGGAATTTGGGGGGAATTTGGGGATTTGGATCCCAGAATTTGGGGGGATTGGGATCCTGGAATTTGGGGGGATTTGGGGAATTGGGATCCCGGAATTTGGGGGGATTGGGATCCCAGAATCTGGGGGGATTTGGGGATTGGGATCCTGGAATTTGTGGGGAATGGAGAAATGGGATTCTGCAGTTTGAAGGGAATTGGATTCCAGAATCCTTTGGAAATGGGATCCTGAAATCCCTGGCAAAGGTGGGATTGGGATCCCGGAATCTGTGGGAAATGTGGGAATGGGATCCCGGAATTTGTGGAAAACAGCAGAATGGGATTCCAAACTTCAATCATGGGAACAACAGAGAATTCCCCCAAATTTTTTCAGGATCAACTCAAAACGACCCCAAAATTTTTCGGGATCGAGTCAGGATCACCCAAAAAAATTTTCAGGAAAATTCCCCAACTTTGGAGGCAAAATCCGGGTGGAAAATCCTTTTTGGGACCCCAAATCCCTCCCAGATGTCGATTTTTTTGGGGATAAAAGCGGGAATTTTTGGGGATTGGGGGCGGACCTGGGCTGCAGGGAATGCAGAGGCCGCGGGAATCCCGGAGCAGCTCCAGAGTGTCCGGGTGTACCTTGACCAGGCGGATGGGATAAACGTTGGGAAGGATGCGGCTGTTGAAGCCGCAGGCGCCCACCTGGAGAGGGGAAAAATCCCGGGAAAAGTGAAAAAAAAAACCGGGAAAATCGGCGGGAAAATGGGGAAATTTCAATAAAAATAGGGAAAATCGGGCAGAAAATGGGGAAATTATTTTTCTTCCCATTTTTTCCCCAATCCTTTCCTAATCTCTCCCCAATTTTTTCCTAAATTTTCCCAATTTTTCCCTGTTTTTCCCCAATCTTTTCCCAATTTTTCCCCAATCTTTTCCCAATCTTTCTCCTAATGCTTTCCCAAATTTTCCCAATTTTTCCCCATTTTCCCCCAATTTTTCCCCATTTTTCCCCAATTTTTCTCCCCCCTTTTCCCCCCAATTTTTCCCCATTTTTCCCCCATTTTTCTCCCCCCTTTTCCCCCCAATTTTTCCCCATTTTTCCCCAATTTTTCTCCCCCCTTTTTCCCCCAATTTTTCCCCCATTTTTCCCAATCTCTTCCTCCATTTTTCCCCAGATTTTTCCCCAATCTCTCCCCAATTTTTCCCATTTTTCCCCCGTTTTTTCCCCAATTTTTCCCAATCTCTCCCCAATCCTTTCCCTGTTTTTTCCCCAATATTTTCCCAGTTTTTTCCCATTTTTTCCCCATTTTTTCCCCAATCTCTTCCCAATTTTTTCCCATTTTTTCCTCCATTTTCCCCCAGATTTTTCCCCAATCTCTCCCCCATTTTTTCCCATTTTTTCCTCAATTTTTTCCCCAATTTCCCCACCTTCCCATCCAGGTTGGCCACGCTGCAGTTGCACTCGGTGGCTCCGTAGAATTCCCCGATCTGGCGCAGCCGGAATCGCCGCCGGAATTCCGGCCACAGCTGAGCCCGGAGGCCGTTCCCGAGCGCCAGCCGGACCCGGTGCCGCAGCTCGGCCTCGCCCACGGGCTGGGCCAGCAGGTACCGGCACAGCTCCCCGATGTACTGGATCACCTGGGGGGGATTCCCAAAAAAAATCCGGGATTTGGGGAAAAAAAACGGGATTTTGGGGCGAAAAACACCCAAAAAATGGGATTTTTTGGGAAAAAATTGGATTTGGAATCAGCCATGGGCTGGGCCAGCAGGTACCGGCACAGCTCCCCGATGTACTGGATCACCTGGGGGGGATTCCCCAAAAAAATCCGGGATTTGGGGAAAAAAAACGGGATTTTGGGGGAAAAACACCAAAAAATGGGATTTTGGGGGAAAAAATGGGATTTTTGGGGAAAAATACTGAGAAATAGGGGAAAATGGAGGAGAAATGGGAAAAAATGGGGGGGAAAGGGGTAAAAAATAGGGAAAAGGGGAAAAAAATAGGGAAAAATGAGGGAAAATGCGAGGAAAAGGGAAAAAATGCGGAAAAACCATGGAAAAATGAGGGGGAAATGAGGAAAAACGTGGAAAAAATAGGGGGAAAATGAGGAAATTTGGGGGAAAAATGGGGAAAATGTGGAAAACCCATGGAAAAATGTGGGAAAAGGGGGAAAATCCCGGGAATTTGGGGCTCACCGTGCAGCGATATTTGACGCAATCGTCCCAAAATCTGGAGGCCGAGAATTTCTTGCGGATGACGACGGTGAGGCCGTGGAGGAGGCACTGCCCCACCCCCATGATGTTCCCTGGGAAAAACGGGATCCTTGGGATCTTGGGATGGGGCTGGGAAGGGTTTGGGATGGGTTTGGGATGATTGGGATGATTGGGATGGGTTTGGGATGTTTGGGATGGGTTTGGGATGGGTTTGGGAGGGGTTTGGGGTGTTTGGGATGGGTTTGGGATGGGTTTGGGTGGATTTAGGGTGGATTTGGGATGTTTGGGATGGGTTTGGGATGGTTTGGGATGTTTGGGATGGGTTTGGGATGTTTGGGATGGGTTTGGGATGGTTTGGGATGGGTTTGGGATGATTGGGATGGGTTTGGGATGGATTTGGGATGGGTTTGGGATGGGTTTGGGATGTTTGGGATGGGTTTTGGGTGGATTTAGGGTGGATTTGGGATGGATTTGGGATGGATTTGGGTGGATTTGGGATGGATTTGAGGTGGATTTGGGATGTTTGGGATGGGTTTGGGATATTTGGGATGGATTTGGGATGGATTTGGGATGGATTTGGGATGGATTTGGGATGAATTTGGGATGGATTTGGGATGGATTTGAGGTGGATTTGGGATGTTTGGGATGCGTTTGGGATGGATTTGGGATGGATTTGGGATGGGTTTAGGTGGATTTGGGATGATTGGGATGGGTTTGGGATATTTGGGATGGATTTGGGATGGGTTTAGGTGGATTTGGGATGGATTTGAGGCGGATTTGGGATGTTTGGGATGGGTTTGGGTGGATTTAGGGTGGATTTGGGATGGATTTGGGTGGATTTGGGATGGATTTGAGGCGGATTTGGGATGCTTGGGATGATTGGGATGGATTTGAGGCGGATTTGGGATGTTTGGGATGGGTTTGGAATATTTGGGATGTTTGGGGTAGATTTGGGATGGGTTTGAGGTGAGTTTGGGATGTTGGGATGGGTTTGGGAAGGGTTTGGGATGGATTTGGGGCGGATTTGGTTTATTTGGGATGGATTTGGGATATTTGGGATGGGTTTGGGATGTTTGGGATGGGTTTGGAATATTTGGGATGGGTTTGGGATGTTTGGGATGCATTTTGGGATGGGTTTGGAATATTTGGGATGTTTGGGGTAGATTTGGGATGGGTTTGAGGTGAGTTTGGGATGCTTGGGATGACTTTGGGATGGATTTAGGGCAGATGATGATGACGATGATGAGGATAACGATGAGGATGAGGAAGGCCATCACCTGCAGAGTGGTAGAGCGGCAGGCAGGTGTAGATGACGTCATCGGGGCGCATCCGAAACGCGAAATAACCGAAGGCGGCGATTCTGTAATACCTGACAGACAGACGGACACAACACCTGGACAGGTGAGGGACACGCCCACCCTGACCACGCCCACCCCCTGGCCACGCCCACCTGGCCACGCCCCCTCCGGCCACGCCCCCACCTGCTGTGCACCACGATGGCCGCCTTGGGCAAGCCGGTGGTGCCCGAGGTGTAGATGTAGAAGAGCCGGTCTGTGCCAGGGGAAAAACGGGAAAAATGCGGGAAAAGATGGGAAAAACACCGGGAAAATATGGGGGAAATCAGGGAAAAATATGGGGAAAATCCAGGGAAAATCAGGGAAAAATCCGGAATTTGACATTCCCCCTTTTCCCCCCGATTTTACTCCCAAATTTCCCCCCCATTTTTCTCCTTTTTCCCTCATTTCTCCCCATTTTTTCTCCAGTTTTTCCCCATTTCCTCCCATTTCTCCCCCTTTTTTTCCCAATTTTTTCCCATTTTTGTCCCATTTCCCCCCATTTTTCCCCTTTTTGTCCCCATTTTCCTCCCATTTTTCCCCATTTTTGTCCCGTTTTTTCCCCATTTCTCCCCCGTTTTTCCCCATTTTTCCCCCATTTTCCCCGTTTTTTCCCATTTTCCCCACATTTTTCCCCATTTTTCCCATTTTTGTCCCCATTTTCCTCCCGTTTTCCCCCATTTTTGTCCCGTTTTTTCCCCATTTCTCCCCCGTTTTTCCCCATTTTTCCCCATTTTTCCCGTTTTTCCCCATTTTCCCCCCATTTCTCCCCCATTTTTCCCCATTTTTGTCCCGTTTTTTCCCCATTTTTGTCCCATTTCCCCCCATTTTTCCCCATTT